GATAAATGCATGATTTTGATTTGATTTCTGGTGTGAATTTTTACATGTTTAAATTATGTATTTTTCATATCTGTAGAATGATGGAACGTAGAAACATGCCTAGGATTCTTGAACATTAAATAGGGATTAGGTTTGGGTTTAAATAAATTTAAATAGACTCAATCATAATGATGTTTGCTATTTGAATGTTTTTAACAAACGAATGGATTTAATCTTTTAAAATGTTTTAGCAATTGAGATTAAATGTGTAGGATGAATTGGATATGGAGAATACTTATTTAACGGTATAATAAAATATTATCATGTATAAGATTAAGTTTGTGTAGGACATATGATATAGGAAGCTTAAATAAATAATAAGTCATTCATATTATGTGATAACTTGATATCATATTATCATAGTTATTTCTGGAATGTTTGATGTATTTCCTTAATTGTTATATCAATTATTGGATTGTTTGGTTTAATGCACCGGTATGGGACGGTGGCATTCTAGGGACGGATTAACTTATCAGTTAAGTCCTACTTATTTTATATAAAGGAATGGATTAACTAAAATGTTAAGTCTTACTTATATTCAAGTCAGGTCAGCTTAACAAGTTGAATGACTTATGGAGGATTAATTTATTATATACGGGAATGGATTAACTAAAATGTTAAATCCTACTTATATTCAAGTCAGTTCAGCTGAACAAGTTGAATGACTTATGGAGGATTAATTTATACTGGATAGGATGGTTACTAGATTATATATATATAAGTATGGTGCCATGATATGAGCTTGAGTCTCAGGATCAGTGGTTAGGGCGCGTATATCGCTAGGGATGTGTAGTTATATATAGTGTAGTTGTGTACCCTGGTAGGTCTGTACTCGTACCCACTATATGTGCGTTCTGCATGTTGCCAACTATTCAGGTTGAGACAACCCTATAGTCTAGTGAGGTTCCTTTAGTGTGTGTGTGTGTGTGTGTGTGTGTGTGTGTGTGTGTGTGTGTATATACGAACTATTAGTTACTGTTGGATTGACTAGGATGTATACGTGTATCGAATCTCTGCTTGAACTGTAGTAGAGTATAATTTGTTTGTGGGCCTGACCCACCATTATTTTTCAGGTGTTTGTCAGGAGTAGATGTTGTTTGTGCTGAACGGGGATCAGTCTACTTCATTCTTCCGATACTACATAGGAGTTCCTGTATGATTCAGTTTCCTGATTTAGACAGTTATTACTGTCATTTGTTTAGTTTGGATTTTCAAGAGGTCCACACAGTATGGATTCCCGAGTTGTATTTTGGAGGATCAGTTGTATCAGAAGAATTTATTAATTAATGGAAATATATTCTGAGGTCTATTATTAGATTATCATTTTAGTTTCTTGTCAGTATTTTATTTAGTATTCTTTATTCTTTTGTACTCTGTGTTTGTTTATTGCCGATTTGTTTTTGATATCCCTGGGTATTCGGGCGTGCGCCTAGCCAACCTGCATTCGTAAATCCGGGGGTATCACATTGTATGCCTTAAAAAATAAATGATACACTAATTGGTATATTTTATATGAAAGATTTAACATCTGATAACATAGCATATTCTCAATAGAATGAGATTGAGATAATACTAGTTATGATAACAAAAGCCTAACTAACTTTTGTAGATGAAAATCTCAAATATAAATACTAGTCAAAGTATATCATTAGTTGAGATTGTAAGGCATCTTAATAACTGTGTTTAATTGCACATTTTCAATCCAAGATAAGATCACTGAAAAACAATAAATTGGGTAGTTGAGATATACCCTAAGTCCAATATTGCATAGATCGAGGTATCTAAATAAGTTGGAGGTGTAACTGTGATGCAATCTAGATGTGGGATATTAAAGACTTCAAATCCAATAGTGGATATGTCTTTTATATTAATGGTATAGTTGTATGTTTTTAATATAACTCAAAGTTAGAAATTTTGAATAAATCAAATAGGAAAGTCAATAAACTTCACCTATAGGACATTTCAAAGTAAGTCTACACATGTACCAATAAAGAAAAGGATATTGCTAACAATAAGTAATTTTAGGGCACAAAGTATACAGTTGCTCTCAATTGGAGAAATCTCTGCAGGGTGTAATATTTCTAAACACAACCTTGTAGCCACATATAAACTTAAGGTTGTACTAGAGAGCAATTGTACAGATTATCGAGAGGAATGGGGTTAAAGGCGAAAGCTAACGAGTCACGTTAATAGAATTCCAACATAGCTGACTGGAGATCCCAAGATCTAGGTTCAAAGGGACAACAGAAATTCTGAGTGACTCACTGGAAAGATATAAATCTTCTACCTATTTCTATGATGAGGCAGTGCTACCAACAGTGAGAATTAGGATAAGTTATGCTTTTAATGACTTTTATACCTTGAAAATTCAAGTGGGGTATGGTAGGATACTCTTAATAAGAAGTTACCTATATGAGTGTGAAATGGGCCACTTCTATGAGAACTATAAATGCTAAGTTTTTTGGAGCACTCATTGAATACTAGGGGTTGTTCAGGGCCAAAATGAACACAACAATGAGAGCCTATTTTGTGAGGAAGGGAATTGTGTGTTTGCTATTGTCTTGGTTTACATCAACGGCTGAATAGTTCAAGACATCATGTTCACTGGTTAGCCAGTAAATCCGATAGTAATGCACTAGGGAAGGTTCAAGGCCAAAAACTACATATCCCAATGCAGTAACTTTCTGACTATACTCTCTTTAGTGTCTGCGTGATCATTTTTTGCATTTAAGCAACCAATTTTCATTCATGTGGGGGATTGTTAGAAATTATGAATGAAAATTGTTTGATTAGTCATCAATAGATGTCTTTGACTGAACAGGTGTGATTACTGGTTGGTAATGTGCTGAAAAGATGCAACATAAAATGAACGGACATAACCTATTGAAGTGGATATGTCTAATGGTGAACAAACACAATGTGAACTATTGCAGCCTATTTGAGTGAATGTGTCAGTGGTGAACAGATACTATGTGAACCATTGCAACCAATTGGAGTAGTTGTGTCCGATGATGAAGAGACACATATAAATGGTTGTGTCCAGTGATGAAGAGACATATATAAATGGTTGTGTCCAGTAATGAAAAGACACATATAAATTATTGTGTCTAATGATGAAGAGACATATATAAATGGTTGTGTCTAATGATAAAGAGACACACCCAATCCGAAAGGCACTTTTATTTCTATAAATACCCCCTTGGACTGCCATTTGCAATTCGTTCAATTCAATTTTTTCTCTCCTTCTCTAAATTTGAACCCAACCCAAGTGGGTTCAAACCATAGGTCAAGTGGTCTGAGCCACTTAGACCCTAATCCAATTTCATCGAACCATATTAAGATTGGTCCAAATCATTTGGTTCTGATTGCATCCAATTTAGCATTTATATAATATAGATTCATTTTTGAGTCAGAGAGAGTATTATATGAAGAGGTTTGCCGTATCCACTAGTTTGTAGTGCTGCTACTGGTGGATATAGACCGTTGTATCATGGTAGTTAGACGCCACTGAATCCGTTAGCACCATAGCGGGGCAAATCTGTCTTGAGGATATAGTATCCAATATTAGTCTCGGTTCAGGTTTTTTATTTATTATTATTATTTTATTGCTTTAATTTGTATTTTAATTAAATATCGAGTTGAGTATTTAATTAATTATTTTTAACATATTATTAAGTGTCTCATGGCATATTAGTATAAGATTAGTGATATCTTAAATATCATTTGAAGCATATATCTTCCAATAGCGATTTGGTAGAGCCGCCTCGGATCCACCCCACTCGCGCTAAGGTTCAAAGCTGTAACCCGGTGACCGGCGGATTTGAGCAGGGTGACAAGCTTGTACCAATACCATGCACCATGGCAAGACCCATGAACTAGAACAAAGTGTTTCCCACTCTCCATTTCCTTGTTGTATTGTTGAACTCTTTTTAATTTTGTTATTGTGGAACATACATTACTGAATTCTTCATTGGACAAAGACTACAAGTTTGCCACCACAAAATGACTCGTACTACATAAAGCCCACCAAATTCTCTTGGATTGTTGTGCTGAGCTAATGTGAAACATTTTTTCACAAAACCTTCTTATGGCGTAATAAACGATTGTAAATGTATAGAAAAGTAGTTTAACAAAAAGTCGAGGTGATAGCAAAATTGTTTGTGGTATTTACATATCTTGGTATGCATTATGATTTTTATTATACTTAGTCTTGATTACACATGCATTTATCATACAATTCTTGGGATTTGATAGGCATGCCTAGACAGGTCATACTACAACCTAGCTTAGGCAGATGAGTTATTCTCAGTTTTTGATTGTATGAATTTTTTTAAAAAAATATTGTAATTATCATGCATTTTTACATATCATGTTTATAATTAGTTTCCCCAAATTAAATTCAATTAGCCGCATTTGTAAGGTTTGTAGTAAGGTCAATTCCCTAGCCTTCTTTCTATTATCTTTTGAATTTGTATTGAAATCAATTCCCTATTCTCTCTATTATATTTTCAATTCTATAGTTTAAAGTGATAAATAAATCAAACAAATAATAAATCATCTCCCAAATCAATCCCCATAAACTAGTAATTCTTGTTGTTCGACTATCCTACGAGGATTTATTGTTCTATCTTTATTCGTCCTATTGCAAGTGAGTGGTTTATAATTGACAACAATTAAAGAGACAATTGATGTGTGCTTAGATTTGTTAATTATAAACTGCTTGAAATAGGACGAATAGGATAGGAATATATAGAGGGTATTGAATCACAAGAATTGCTTGTTTAGGGCTATCAAGATTGTAAGAATACTTCATGCTTAATTATACAAAATGTGTTAAAAAAATTATTCAAAATAATAAAATTTTATTTTTATTTAGATATATGAAATATCAAACATGTGTATGATGATTGTTGATATTTAATACGGACACTATTTACTCCTTCATCTAAAAAGTGTCAAAAAAAAAAAAAAAAAAAAAAAAAAAAGGCTCATAATCTGGACCAGGGGTGGAATAATTCCGAGAAACAAACAGCAAAAGATAGAGATGCCAACACACTGGCAACTTGCATGTGGCGTGTTTAACGAGGCTGAATGGACAACGCTCGAACACATGTCGACCACCCATTTGTCAAACAAAAGTTGCCACTTCATACCAAACCTCAACAAGGAAACCATTCTTGCATCTGGGCCGTATTTTATTACAAGGAAACCCATGCAACTCCAGAGATGGCACCCCAACCTGTCAAATGAGATGTAATCCAGTCATCTAATCCATGTGTGGGTAAAGTTTTACAATATTCCAATACGATGGTGGACGGCCAAAGGGCTAAGCCATATTGCTAGCGCAATTGGGCGCCCATTACATGCTGATCCTGTCATCGAGAGCAGAGAAAAACTGAGATTTGTATGGAGATTGACTTGAACTTACCACTTTTGAAGTCCTTCCCTCTGAAGAATGGGGATGGTAGCACTGAGGAGATTCGTGTTGAATATTTGGGCATCCCAAAATTTTGTACATCATGCAGGTTAGTAGGGCATCCCTCATCCATTTGTCCACTGAAGAATGGACCCCTGCTACTGCTCATTTGCCACGGGCCCAATCAGATTGGATTACTGTACCACAAGAAAGAGAAGATCATCTCCTAGCAGCCCACGACATCCTGGAACTAATGAAGATCATACACCTACAACCATCACACCCATTACCAATTTCGAGGTGCAGCCTAACCCTTCATCCTTCACAAATATCTCCACAAGCAATGTATTTTCTCCTCTTGCCGACTCCCTTCATTGCCCAGCACAATCTCCCACAACCAAATCACATCTTAGTTCACCATCCAAAAACCTCTCTCTCATCCATGCTAAAAAGTTAACAAGAGCCAACCTGGATAATAGGCTCATGTTATGTGATCAACAGAGCTTTGACACAGCACTGAGTCCTCAACATTTGGAACTCTTGAGCAGGCACTACTCGATTGCAGAGGGTAATCCTCAAGGCCCTGCTGACCCCTCTAATGAAGAATCTGATTAGCTTTCCTCATCCTCCTCTCAAAGTATGACCTGCACAAACATCTTAAAAAGAAAGAAAAACACTGGTAAGAAGAAAAAGGCCATGAATGGGCTGCATATGCATGTATTTCCCTTTAAAGGGATTAGGCACCTAAAGGGAGCTTCTAAGTCCCTCTCTAATGGTTAGTCTGGCTACTTGGAATATAAGAGCCTTGAATAGCCTCCAAAAGCAGCTTGAGCTGCATGAAATAATTAGGTCCCACAAGTTGGATCTGCTGGTCGTGTTGGAAATAAGGGTTTCCCATGATAATATGTCATCCATTCACAAATTTGTAGCACCTAAATAGTCCATCATTCATAATTATGATTACTCTATTCTTGGTAAAATTTGGATACTGTGGAATCCAAATACAATTAAACTCTCAGTGGTGCTAGTTACTAGACAAGTCATCCACTGCTCTGTGTATCTTCCTAATAATCAGCATTGCTTCATCTCTTTTGTTTACGGTGCTAATACCTATATTGAAATAAGGGACTTACCGGCCTCCATCAAGCAATATGCTATTCTATTTTGTGATGCCCCTTGGCTGGTCCTAGGGGATTTTAATGTGATTATTAACTGCCATGGGAATTTTGGGGGTTCTCTTAGAAGGTCTTATGCAGTAGTTGAATTTAATGATTGTGTGATGGAATCTAAATTGGACGATCTAAGGTACACAGGTTTTCACTAAACTTGGAACAATCAAAGCCTAGGATATGCTAATATTGCGAAGAAGCTTGACAGAGCACTTATTAATTAAGAGCGATCAAAGGTATTCCCTATGTCTGATTGCACTTTTCTACCTCCCAGTCTATCTGACCACAGCCCATCCTTGTTGGGCTTGGCTCTTCTGCCCCAAAGAAGAAGTTACCTTTAAGATATTTCAATACTTAGGCCTCTAATCCTCATTTCATGCCTGCAATTGAGCAAGTGTGGGCTCCCTATGTCAGAGGAACGCCAATGTTTCAAGTGGTTCAGAAATTGAAGACTCTTAAAGGGATTATCAAACAAAGATGTAAAGTGGAAATTACACAAGCATCTGCACAGGTCAATCAGGCCAGGCAAACTCTATCTTCTTGTCAATAGCAGTTGGACGCTAACCCTATTGATATGAGCCTTAAACTTCTAGAAAAGGAGCTAATGCAACAACTCACTGCACTTTCCCTCTCTAATGAACATTTTATTAGGCAAAAATCAAGGATCAGATGGCTAAAGGATGTGGATAGTAACACATCTTCTTTTTTTTAAGGTTTTCAATTCCAAGACCAACAGGAGGAAAATTACATGTTTAATAGCAGTTGATGGCACTACCATTGATTAGGTTCATCTTATCAATTCTGAGATTGTATCCCATTTTCAGAATTTGCTAGGATCTTCTCCTCCCCCTTATTCTGGGATTTCACACTTGCAACCTCTAATCACAAAGACCATCCCATTACACTTCCATTCCATGCTTGTCTCCATTCCCACAGAGGAGGAAATACAAGCATGCTTCCTTTTTCTGAACAAAGAGAAATCCCAGGACCGGATGGGTATAATGCACATTTCTATCATGTTGCATGGCCAGTCATAGGTAGGGACAGTATTGATGGAATGAGATCCTTTTTCTTGAGTGGGAAACTGCTGAAGGAAATCAACAACGCTTATATTGCCCTAGTCCCTAAAGTACCTAACCGATCAACTCTTAATGACTTTCGCCCTATCTCATGTTGTAACACAATCTACAAATGCATTGCTAAGCTTATAGCTAATAGGCTTAAGCAAGCCCTACCTTCATTAATTAATCCATGCCTGAATGCATTTGTCAAGGGCCGACACATTAGGGACAATATTCTTTTAGCACAAGAGTTTTTTCATGGCTACCACAGGCACCTAGTTCCTCCCAGATGTGCTATCAAGGTCGATCTAATGAAAGCGTTTGACTCTGTCGGGTGGGATTTTATACTTGATTCCTCAACACTCTTTGGGTTTCCAGATACTTTTGTTGAGTGCGTAAGGGCTTGTATCACTACACCATCCTACACTATCTCTGTTAATGAGGAGTTCCAAGGGCACTTCAGCGGGGTTAAAGGGCTGAGACAAAGTGCTCCCATCTCCCCTCTTCTCTTTGTTATTGTTATGAAGGTATTCACTTCTATTACAAAGAGACACATCAGTGATAATCATTGTTACAAATATCACTCTAGATGCAGAACTCTGGCCATCTCCTACTTTACTTTTGCTAATGACCTTCTACTATTCTCCTATGGGGACTTGACCTCTATTTTTACTCTCAAGAATGCCATTGATCACTTCACTGCCCTTTCTGGACTCTGTATCAATAATCAAAAGAGTCGGTATTTTTTTTTTTTGGTTCTGGTATGAACAATGACATGGTAAATGACATCAAGTGCCTACTGGGCTTTGATCCGAGGGAGTTACCATTCAAGTACCTTGGTGTTCCCCTTGTTTCTACTACCTTAAGGGCGGCTGACTGCAGAGAGCTTATAGAGCAAGTCACAAGAAGAATTTGCCACTGGTTATCTAGTTTCCTATCTTACGCGAGTAGAATCCAATTGATACAATCGATTTTATATAGCATGGTCAACTACTGGATATGCCTATTTCTTTTGCATAAATCAGTTCTAACAGAGATTAATGGACTCCTACAGAATTTCCTTTGGTCTGGGACTGACTTCAAGTTTTCAGGGGCTAAGATTACTTGGCCTGCTGTTTGCATGCCCAAGAGTTATGGTGGACTAGGCTTCAAAAGTTTGGAAATTGCTAACACGGCGGGATGTCTCAAGCTTATTTGGAATGTCGTTTCCTTACATAGGGATAATATTTAGGTTAGATGGGTGAGGGTGCAGCTAATTCGAGGTAGGAATTTGTGGACTATGAACACACCTCGGGCGTCTTCTAGTAGTTAGAAGAAGCTTATACAGCTTAGATGGGTGACAAGGTCGATGATCAGGAAAAAGATTGGCTGTGGTTCAAAAACCTTTTTTTGGTATGACAACTGGCTTCAAGGTGGACCTCTTGCCTTCAGAGTAACCTCGGATTTCATCAGGGGCTCGCATATTTCAGTTGAACAGAAGCTCTCCACATTCTCTGCAAACAATAATTGGGATTTCCCGATTCTAATCTCTCAACACTTCCCTGACCTCCTGCTCCTTGACCCCCCAAACAGTTCACCTGATAAGGATGTGTGGATTCCCTCATCATCTGGAGATTTCTCGCTTAGCCATACAGTTACATGGCTAACTCCTCATCATCAACCTCGACAGTGGAGTTACTTGATTTGGAACTCATTCTCCATCCCGCGGTGCAAAATCAGTTTGTGGCTGGCTGTATAGAAATAGTTTCTCTACAAAGGACAGAAGATGTATGCAGTCATGCTCTGGATCTAGACTCTGCCTTCTTTGCCAATCGGTTGACGAATCCCATGATCATTTGTTCTTCTCGTGCACCTTCACCATACCGATTTGGAGTTTCTTATAGTCCAAGTGCAGATTTCATGCTTCGCATCTCACATGGGAAGAATTTGTCAACTGGGCATTGGTGATCTCACCAATAGAGGGTCGATCTTTGCAGAATTCAGTCAACAAGCTTGTCCTCTCCACCACTATCAATCGGATCTGGACCGAGCGCAATGAAAGGATCTTCCACCACAAGAGAAGCTCATAATCAAAAATTTTGAAGCAAACCACAAACATGGTTAAGCAGCGTCTCCAACTTTTCAGGGTTAAAGACTCAATCATTGCAAAGAGACTCGTCCTTGACTGGGATCTTCCTCAAGCATTCATTAGACCCCCACTGGAACCGGACTGAGCAAAGGAGGCTCTGCCTCTCTAATCTGAAGCCACCGGATGTTTTTGTTGTTAGAGATAAGATTAGTCTAGGGCAAAGACTATGAGCTCCTGTTTTGGGCTGGACTCGACAATGAGTCCTTTGTTTTTGTTCCTTACTGTTATGGGCCTTGCCCTTGTACATTTTTTACTCAATTTATATATTACGTCTTACCTTCCGGGAAAAAAAAAAAAAAAAAATTTGATTATATTTCATCCGTCGATCTGTTTCTAGACGATCAATCGCATCCATCCAATACTCCCAAACCTTTTATAAAAAGGCCTTATCTCGTACTATCATTATCATTATACGTATAAGCGTCGTCTATTTTCTCTATTTTATCTTTTACCCTGTTATTCCATCCACGTGTGGAAGATTTCTCCAACGCTTAGGTTGGATTTTGCGTCTGTTCCTCCTTCCTCCTTTTCTACTTGGTAGCTGCATTTAGTTAGAGAGTGGAAGGATATGGACGGGGGACTGGATGGATGGGTTGGGTCTGGTAGCCTATTTTTGCTGGGGAATTTGGAAGGCCATAAATAAGTTGGTTTTTGAGGGGGTGCGATAGGATGCTCATCGGGTTGCTTTGACGGCTTGTTCACAGTTTTAGGCATTTAAGAATGCTTCATCATCCTCTAGTGATTGCTTGTCTCCTGGGTTCTCTGATTCTTGCCTTTTGTCGCATTGTTCTTTTTCTTCTCCACGTTGGATGCCTCCAAGAGAGGGTGTGCTTAAATGTAATGTGGATGCATCGTTTTTGACTTCTTCTCATATTAGGGGTGGTGGAGCAGTTTTTCGTGATTATTTGGGCACTATTGTACAAGCTGTGGTATTTTCTCCTTTTCCTACGGCTAGTGCATCTTTTGCTGAGGCTATTTGTCTACACAAAGCTATTCTTTAGGCAGGTTCCTATTCTATTTCTCAAGTTTGGTTTGAACGTGATTCTAAGGTTGTGGTTCAAGCAGTGTGATGCTCCTGGGCCGACAGATCTTCATTCTATTGCCTTCGATATTCAAGTCGTGCTTCAAATCTCGCCTTAACCATGTTAATCGCAATGATAATGCCATTGCTCACGCAATCGCGAAGCTATCCAGAGACTTATTTCCTCAAGATTTGGCTCTTGTTCATGTCCTAGTAGATATTCTTGATTTGGCCGCTAAGGATTGTCTATCTTGCTAGTTAATGTTGTGGTTGCTTGCACGGTTTCCAAATGTTGTGTGCCCGCTTAGCTTTGGTTCCTTGGCCAGGATTAATGTTTTTGACTCATTCTTCTGTTTTGTCAAGAATGTGATCTTGACTATAAGGGGTGTTAGTTAGTATTGGTTGGCTTTGTGTTTGTTGGGGTTATATGTGTTGTTGGTTCTATGTCTTTGGCTGTTGTTCTTGCCTTTAGATGCCGTATGACGTTTGGTTTGTTTCTTGCCAAGATTGAAAAAAAAAAAAGGTGTAATTTGTTTTTGCCAGGATAAAAAAAAAATACTTTTTTTTTTCGGTAGATCTGTTGTTAGATTTGCAATATGATTTTAAAATATCGGTAATTCAATATGATTATATATATTTTTGACTTTTTTTCCCCGGTAAATCTGTTGTTAAATTTGCTATATGATTTTAAAATATCTGTAACTTATGATCTATTTTCTTTTTTATGTACTTCTTTAGTTAGTTTTGCTATATGATCTTAATACTTTAAAATATCATATATATATATATATATATATATATATATATATATATATATATATATATATATATACTAAAAAAATCATATTATTTTTACTTTTTTCCTGTAGATCTGATATATATATATGTAATCATATATTGTGGTGCCTTTTTTATCCTTCTTTTCTGGTAGAATTCCCTTTTTTTTTTTTTTTTTTTGGTGAGTTTCTGTCCATTTGTGACAGATCTTGCTATTTTAATTTTATAGTTTGTGTTTGTTCTTTTTCTTGGTATTTCTATTCGGTTTTTACAGGGACGGATATAGTGATTTTGATGTGTTTGTCTGAATTCTCAAGAAACCACATGATGAGTGTCACAAGAAGACATATACATATGGTTGTTTGTGGGCATCTATCTATGGTTGCTATGGCGTATAGATGCGTAAACTGAAGAGTCTGTTTGTAATCAATCATATCACGTGTATGATGATGGGATAGCTGGTTTTGTGTTTGGATGATGTAAAGCATCAGGAAGGATGGCTCAGGATTCATTGATATTGTGTGATCCACCGACCTTCGCCATGACAGGTGCGCTTGCATGGCAGGTCACCCTTACCCTAATAAAAATATTCATTTTTTTGGTTTCCGGGGGAGGTCGCACGGGATTTTGCCCGGGGTCTCCTCCACGGTGTGTTGTGTGTGTCTTTGTGTTGCTTTTCCATCTTCTTTCCTTTTGGCTCCTGGTATCTCTATCTGATATGAAGGATCATGATCAAAGCAACGATACATCTTCAGGTACACAATCTTTAATTCAACTACTTAGTGAAAGAAAGAAAAAAGCTTTAATTTTTCATTAATTATGAATCATTAGACACAAAACTTTTTTTTTTTTTGACCCAACCATTTGGATTAGTGTATTATTATCACATTTCCGAAAAATTATTTTTTCAATAAGCTTTTGCCTTCTTTTTATCCGTTATTACTCAATTCATCTCAACTTAGTTCTTCTTCAAATTGTAGAATTTTATTGATATGCATCCAAGTCCTTAACTGTGTTAATCATCATACATCCATTATGAAAATATTTTGAGCCATGTCGGAGAGTTTTATATGAACTGACTGATGGTAAATCAAACATTTTTTATTTCAATAGTCCTCAACTTATCAATACTATTTTATATAAATAGTTAATAGTCTATCCGAAATTTATTCTAGTACAGAATTAGCTCCAAACAAATGAAGTAATGGAGGGACACAACAAAATGGATTGCACGATTTTGTATGTATGATTGCTGTATCTCTCAAATTTTAGTATCTATATATTCATTTGCTAATATGCTGGCTGGATGCATAAACTTAAAACTGAAACTATGCAACTCGATCTCTAAGTTGTCAAAATCTTCAAACTTTGGGTGCCTCCAATACGTGCATGGTACAATTGTTATATCCTGCAAATTCTTTCCGTTTATTCGTGCCAGTTATGTCTCCATTTGTTATGTTTCTTGGCCATCATTAATTTGTTGGGAAGCTTCAAATTTGTTCAGTTTTACAATCCTTGTGCAATTGTGAACTATATAAGAACTGATTGAGTAGCAATTGTCGCAAAGTGTAATCCAGTTCTTGTATTTGTAGTTATCATTAGGTTGATGTGTTTTTTATATGTAAGAAAAAGTTTGCTTTGGCTTGTATTCTGGATGGGTTTTTTTTTTTTTTTTTTGCTTCTTGGAGATGACCAATGCTTGCAGCGGTCCGGTCGTGGTGAAGGCAAAGCTGAAGAGCTGAGGAAGTACTTGTCAACTGTAGTGGAAATTCTACCTCACTTTATTCATGGACTTGGAGGACATGCCAATCCTTTCTGCAACTCTCTTGTAGTTGTCAGAGAAACTCATCAGACTCGCGACGACTACAATTGCATTGGTACAATTGTTATTCATGCCAATCCTTTTTTGCCATCATTAAATTTACAATTCTCTATGTTTGTTTTATATTTTTGATAGAGAACTGATTTTGATTATATTTTGAAGTTCTTGTATTGTATCATATACTATATGTTTTATGGTTTTTCTTAGTAGATGTATGTAAGAAAATGTGGGTTATGGCTGTATTCTGGTTAGTTTGCTGCCTGAAAGCTGATTTTTGTGGAGAGAGCAGTTTATTATTGAGCTGCTTGTGAGACACAAGCAAAGCTCTGCAAGTGTTTAGCTGTGGGATCAAATGGTGGAGCTGTTCAACAAATAGTTGGATCTGTCTGACTCTTCCTACTGTTGGGCATGACAAGCTTTTATATGATCAATCGAGGTGATAGCAAAAATTTTTGTGGTATTTGGTAGGTCTTATTTGTACTTGGTATGCATTATGATTATTATTATGCTTAGTTTTGATTACATGTGCATTTATCATACAATTTGGGTATTGTAGTTATCATGCATTTCTAATATCATGGTTATAATTGTAATTAACCATAGTTGTGAGGTTTGTGTTGAAGTCCATTCCCTAGCATTCTTTCTATTATATTTTCAATTTGTAGTAAAGTCGATTCCCTATTCTCTCCATTATATTTTCAATTTATTTACTGTTTTATACAATATCAATTCTATAGTTTTAGAGTGACAAATCAAACAAATATATCTCCTCCTAAATCAAACCTACTTGATTGTCAGAAATTTGTAATTCTTGTAATTCTTATAAGGATTCATTGTTCTATCCTAAAAGGATTCATCCTATTGTGAGCGGGTGGTTTATAATTGACATCAATTAAGGTGACAAATTGATGTATGCTTAGACTTGTGGATTATAAACGGCCTGGAATAGGATGAATCCTTATAGTATAAGAATATATAGAGGGATATATGACTTGTTTATGGCTATCAAGATTGTAAGAATACTTCCCGTTTGATTTAGTAGATAATGATTTGTCACTGAAGTTGCATAAAAACTTAAAAACAGTGAATAAATTTGAAAGATAATAAAAACTTAGAGACAGTGGATAAATTGGAAAGATAATAGAAGCTAGTGAATTGATTTCAATACAAACTTCATAAATGTGGCTAATTGTATTTAATTTGGTAGAATTAATTATATATATAACCATGATATGTAATAATGCATGATAACAAATCAAAAAATTCACACAATCAAAAGCCAAAGTTCCCGTCTTGAAACAAATTTATGGATTTTATGCTTAAACAAATTTATGGATATTATGTTGGAAATAGCTTTTACATAATCAGATAGATAATTTTTAGAAAAACAATTCATTTTTTTTTTTTTTTTTGTTAATACATATGTGACATAGTATGATATTTTTCTTTTATTATTGTTTGATATTTATTTTTAGATCACCAAATCGAATTTCACCATTCTAGACTTTTGTATAAGTCATTCTAATATATATATAATTAAACATATATATTATACATATAATAAAATAATGTTTTATTATATATTATGATATATATAGAGTGCTTAAAAGTTAATATTATTATTTATATAAAATAAAAAGGAATAATTTTACTTACCTTCCCTGAGGTTAGGTATAATTACAGGCGGTACCCTTTACGTTTATAAAATTACAAAAACCTCCCTTCAATGTGACCGGAGTTAAATTCCGGTGACATTCTTGTCAAATGACTAAGATACCCTTATTATATAAAATAAAAAATTATCAAAATGCAAATGATAAAAGCTACCCCCAATTACAGAATTGAACAACCAAACTTCAGCATCGGCATCCTTGCTCACCGCCGGTCGGTCTCGCTGTTGAGATAGTGCATTGCCGCCGCCATTTCAGCTCACTTTGTCACCGGATCAGAGCACCGCGTCACCGCCTAGCTCACTAGTTCACCGTCGGTATCTTGAGTCGCTAGGCTCGCTTTCTCTTTCTACAGCCCCTGTGATCTCCGACAGCAGATCCGTCATCCATCATCATCTACAAGAGTCTGTGCACGCCGTTCCGAGCTCGCCATCCTTCACCGCCGTTCCGAGCTGCTTACACGCCATTTAGACCTCAAGCCGGTAAGCACGGATAAGAGCATCACCACTGTTCAATTCAGACCCAGTCCTTGCTGTCACCGTCATCGGAATAACCACTATGTTTATCGCAGCCGGAATCGCGACTTTTCCTGTAGCTGTTCGTCGCCACACTCTGCCGTCACCGAGGCACTGCCATTCTTTCTCGCCGTCGACTGAGCACATCCTTGCTCATCTGCCGTCGCCGGAATAGCGACTCTCATTGTCCGTCACCACACTGCCGACTTTCATCGGAGGGGGCTAAGTGTTACGACGGAGCAAACCTTGAGGGAGGACGGTGTAATATTTGAAACGTAAAGGGTACTGCCTGTAATTACGCCAAATCTAAGAGGAGGTAAGTGAAATTATCCCAAATAAAAAATATATAATTTATAAAACGGTTTCTTGTAGAACTTTATACCTAGCCTAATTGTGAAAAAATAAAAAAATAAAAAACTAAACCTTTATGTTTGGTCCAATTTGATGGTTTAAACTGGTTTTTTGTGCCCCTAATAGTCTATTGGTTGGTGGAGAAATCATGTAAAATGTGATACTAGAGGAAATATTTTATATATTTGTCCAATTGTGAACATTTTTTTTTAGGGGATAAATTTTTATTTCTTTTGGATGACTAGCTTTGTAGATCTGTTAGCTCAAGATTGGTAAAAGCACTCAGATCCGCTTGTTTTTTATTTGAGAGGATGGTGGTGGTTCGAGTCCACCCGGGTCTTGTTTTATTATAACATTTTTATTATCTTTTGATTTGAGAGGATGGATGATATCCGCGGAGACTATTTCCAAAATCTTTTTGCTGCCTTTCCATGTTTGGATGATTTAACTTTTTGGAATTTGCTGACGCCTAAGTGGACTCTAGCAATGAACCGTGAGCTGCTGCGTGAGGGGACCAGTGATGAACTTTGTTTGCAGTGGCAAGCATCGGGCCGTATAAAGCCCCAGGCCCAGATGGATTCACTTCTTTGTTTTTTTAGACTAACTAGGATGTGCTTAAGATGGATCTCGTTAAAGGTTTCAATTCCTTTCTGAAAAGCAGTTTCTTACCCACATGTCTAAACTCCACCAATCTAATTTTAATCCCAAAAGTTTCTCACCTTACTTCAATGGTGAATTTCAGACCAATTGCACTATGCAATGTGGCATATAAGATTTTTTTGAAAACCCTTGCAAATAGACTCAAACCTTTTCTTCCTCTCCTTATTAACGAATCCCAGAGCGCTTTCGTCCTTAACCGCCTAATTCATGATAACATTGTGATTGCTCATGACCTTTTACATGTTCTCAAATTGAAAAAACATGGTGATTCTTGTTACATGGCTGTTAAATTGGATATGGCAAAGGCTTATGATAGAGTGAACTGGTCTTTCTATGCAAGTTCATGAGTTTGTTGGGGTTTCATCAAAGATGGGTTAATTTAATTATGGAATGCATTAGCACTGTTTCATACTCTGTGCTATTAAATGGAGAAAAAGGAGATTGTTTTACTCCTTTCAGAAGCCTGCGACAAGGAGATCCCATTTCACCATACTTGCAACAAGGAGATCCCATTTCACCATACTTGTTCCTTTTTTGGACTAAAGGTTTATCCCTGCTATTATGTTCGAGAAGGAAAAAAAATTTGGGGCTGAAAATGGGTCGGGGTTGCCCTCAAATTTCTCACTTACTATTCGCCGATAACACCCTACTTTTCTGTAAAGCTGCAAATTCTTCTAAAGTGCAGTGCATTAAATCTGTCCTCAATTACTACGAAGCTTTAACAGGTCAGTTAGTAAATCTGGACAAATCTTGTTTGTATTTTCCTCCTAATTCTCTTTCAGCCCTTAAAGATACAAACGTTGGGTTTTCAGAATGTTGATTGGTGCAATAAGTACCTTGGGTTGCCTTCCTTTATGCGCAAGTCCAAGGTCATAACTCTTAACTTTATCTCAGACAGGGTTGCTTCAAAAACCAAGCTGCTTAAAAGTATGTCTAAGGCCGGCAGAGAAGTGATGGTGAAATCGATTCTTTCGGCTCTCCTAACCTTCTCTATGCAATGTTTTAAACTTCCAAAGCATAATTGTAAAAAGCTTACCAATAATCTCCTCAACTTCTGGTGGAGTGGTGAAGAAAAATTCAATAAAATTAAATGGATCAACTAGGACACCCTTTGTAAATCCAAGAATGAAGGTGGACTTGGTTTTAAGAATGTTGAGGCCTTCAATTTGGCCCTTCTTGATAAACTTGCATAGCGAATGGGAATCGGTGATGATACTTTGCTCTTTAAATCCTTCAAATCGAAATACTTTAAAAATTGTAACTTTGTTGATGCTCCTCACAAATCAAGTGCTTCTTAGGTCTGGAAGAGCATTCTTTCGGCAAGAGAGATTATTAGAAAAGGTATGAGATAGCGTATTGGGGACGGATCCAAGGTTAATTATTGGAAGGACGACTGGCTTCCTGTCGCTTCAAACTTCTATGTTTCTTCAAAGAATTTAGCAGCCAATTTTTCTTCTGTTGCAGACCTTATTAATCATTCCTTACAAAGTGGAAGTCATATTTAGTCTGTCAATATTTTAATCTACGGGATCAGTCTATCATATTACAAATTCCCTTCAATTTAACGGGGGAAGCTGATTGCAAGATTTGGGGTCCTTCCAAGGATGGCAAGTTTTCGGTTAAAAATGCCTACCATGTTGCATTATCTGTTCTTTCTTCTAAGCCTTGTTTTGTTTCTACTAATGGTTGTAGTTTTGATCCCGTCCGCGGTGGTTTGTGGAAACAGGTGTGGAAAATTCGCGCTTATAAGAAAATTTAATTATTCCTATGGCAGTGCATTCATGAGTGCAACCTGTGAATAATTTGCTTTTCTTTCTTGGAGTCTCTGAAATGTCTTCTTGTCCATTTTGTGAATTGAAGGTTGAGACGGTTGATCACCTTCTCTGCACCTGTCCCTTTGCTTGCATGGTTTGGAAACTTAGCCCATTTAGAATTGATTTCAGTACTGATTTTCCTTCTTTTTGGCCAAAAAGGTGGTTAATTCATTGTTCGAACTGGAACGTGACTGAGACTACGGATGCTTGTTTAAGCTTAGCAGCTTTTCTCTGTTGGACCATTTGGAAATGCAGAAATGATCTCATTTTTAAGCAAAAACGATGGCATCCTTTTGACGCTGCTCAAAAAGCTCATATTGCTTTTCAAGAGTTCCAAGAGATTTGACGGCAGAATCAACTGTTGTCACCTTCATCATCTCCTTCTATTTTTTTGCCTTAGCTTTGGACAACACCGGTGGATGGATATTTCAAACTTAACTTTGATGCAGTCTTCAACTCAGTTAAAAAGACTTGCGGGGGAGGTATGATTCTCAGAAACCACCTTGGACATC